AGATCATTTAAACCTGCCGTCGAATATCATGCATGCAGATGGATTGTGCATCCCTTTGAGCAGTCCTGATCCAGGTCGATCCAGAAGCGCAGGCCAGAAAAGACCTGGAGAAAGACATCAATGCTATCAGCAAGCTGGCTGCGGAAGCCAGAAATATGGGAATGCTCCTGACGGAGTGGAAGGTGCCGCACGTGGACTCCGTGCAAACGGGCTTGCAGAAGCACGTTATCAACTTGAAGAAGATTGGAGAAGAGATTGATGGTAAGGTGTTTCGGGGAGTGCCGGGTTCTTACACTGTTGTTTTGATACACAGACACAGACACATACACACATATACATACATACATACATACATACATACGTACATACATACATACATACATACATACATGTGTCTGCGTGCTGAAATGTTATGTAACATATGCTGCATCACACTCATCAAAGTCCCGATGTAGCCCCCTCGAACTTTAAGCCAAAAACCCTGAGCCTCACGTGCACAGCCCTAAGGCCTATCTCCGAGATTGCGGACTACATCGTCTCGAAAACGCCCCAGTGCAAGGACTGCAAATAAGACTCCTACTTAAGACCGACCCCAATCATCGATGCATCTTCTGTTGTCAGGAAGCCCACCGGGACATTTGCCACGCCCAAGGCCAAGTCGATACAGAAAAGCGCCGCTGGAGCCTTGGTGTACCCATTATGTTGTGACATGTTTACCAATCTATCTCGTTTATACCAAAGCTTCCTGATCAGGTGTGAATCAGCAGAAGAAAGCCGAGGAGAAAGAAAGGAGGAAGCAGGAGGCGGATGCATTGGAGGAGGAGATGAAAGCCAGGCCAGGGTGCATTACGTACACATAGGGGTCAGGATCTAAGCAACACGACCCTCCAAACCCTAAACCCTAAACCCTAAATTTAAACCCTAAACCCTAAACCCTAAAACCCTGTACCCTAAACCCTAAGCTTCCAAAACCCTGTAGTGAATTCGATGGTAGAGCTAAATTCAAGGCTCCTAGGGAGAAAGATATTGGAGCCGTACGTGTATTCATAAATCCGGACCATGAACTTCAAGTTCCCCCAAAGTGAATTCAGTATTGCCTACACAACTGTCACAACACCATGGCTGTATCACCAATCATCCAGCTCGGCTTAGTAGCCAATCATCACATGTGTCATTCTCGATCTACCCTGCTGTGATTTCTTGCTTGTCTGAAAAGACAACCTACAGTTTAGGGTTTAGTGTTTAGGGGTTTATAGGGTTTAGGGTTTAGGGGCTTCGTGGAGTTAAGGCTTTCGGCAATCCTCGAATATGTTCTGAATTGAAACTTGTTAAAGGTTCGACAACAATCTGAATCCCAAATCCAAACACACTATAGACCCCATAACCCCACAAACTATAACCTTAGATCCTTTGCAACATTATCCCAAGCCGTTCCAGGTGGGACGAGCTGTCTGACGAGGAAAAGTTTCAATATATGTCTTCCAAGGGCCAAAGCAAGCGCCAAAAGCGGTGAAGTGGCTTCGCATGCCTTTGCGTACAGAACAGTATAGGGTCTTAGATCACAGCTCGCATGCAGCCGCAAAGCAGAGGGATGCATGCAGCCCGGGGAGGCTGCTTTTGAGTTTTGTAATCGAGGGCGGCTACGGCTATAGGGTACAATGCTCTATACCCAGGGCACTCCATACGCTGCTGTCTGTAAGCAACGTACTAGCTCCTACAAGCATGTTGCAACTGCTGAAGTGGCCGCCCTCTTGGGTCAATCTGTAGGGCCAGCGGCGATATGGATTCAGCGCGAATCCGCTGCTGAAAAAAGATGGCAATCGGTTCTCGCATGCTCTGCCTCGTGTAGCTGCTTATGGTGTGTGCTGTGCTCAATTTATCAATTTAACATCATGTGCCAGGACCCTACAGCAGTGGTGCAGGGTATCATGTCCGAGATCTGGCAGATGCTCGGGACTGGCAAGGCCAGAATTTATGGGAACATGTAAATCATTTAATCGCAATGACTTCCGATCCATCCAAACAGGTGGAAATCAGCCGACTGCGAAATCTCGTCTGTTGGAACCCCAGCTGAATGATCCTTCGAATCATGATTGAGACCAGGCTCATCCATCCAAATCTGCAGGTCGCTTGCGGCATCTACCTGCACAGCTGGTGCCGTCACTGCCCTATGTCCCGTGAGCAACCTGTGCTGCTGTGCTTGAGATCTGTGCTAATTGAACTGGCCCAGGTCTGAGATCCTGGATTTGGCTGTGAGCTTCGATGGCTCTTCTACATCGTGGGGCCATGACAGAGTGCTGAATCGATGGGTAAGTCAGCAACCCTGGCGAAAACTATTGCCTCGACCATATGTGATTTCCCTGCCCTGTGTCAGCTTCTAAGTCGCTTCGGTAAGTTTCTGGGAGGGGTCACCTACAAATCCGAAGCATTGCACACTCACATCAGGAACATGTGGACCGAAGGGGGAAGTCGCAGACGCACATCAATCATGGGCTCTTCCTCCCGCATGAAATACTGGCCTCCATGTACACGAGTGGCAACTTGCATCGGCTGGCTTCGCAGGGCGCCACCTGGATTCAATAGTGGTGTCCACGCGCAGGGGTTTAGGGTTTAGGGTTTAGCCCACCGTAGAGGAGTTTAGGATCAGACCTAAAATCGATGGTGCCATGAGCCACTCCGAACCCCAATGTCCTAGACCTAGCAGCCCAAAACACCCAACCCAGAACCTCGATGCCATAAACTTTCAATGGTACAGTCTTGAAACAGTGTAAGGCCTGAACCCAATCCGGATAAGACTGCGAGGTATTGTTGTCTGGGTCCGACAACCAGGAATATCTCTAAACATTTCTGAAAAACTAAAGGATTGATCCCTGATCCAAAACTTTAGCCCAGGGCTATTCCTGTCATATCATGCCTAACGGAGACATCTGGGATTACATCCACGGAAGCTGAAACCCAAGCGATTGCTGATCACATATGCCACATCATGCCTAAACATGTCATCGAACGACATAATTAAAGCCTAGCATCTACTGCGAGCATTGGAGCTAACGGAGACGTATCTACCTCGACTATAAGTCTACTCAATTTGAGCTGAGATGTAACAAATGACGAACTTAGAATGACTTAAGATGTCTCAGCGATGAGATGTTCAAGATACCGTCGCAAGCGTGTCGCAGACATGCTGGGCCACACACTTGCCACGTGCTTGTCGCAATCTGGGATTGAATGGCAGCCAGGGCTGCTTAAGTCTAAGTGGTTAATGATCATATGATGTATGCGACATGTCGAACTGAAGCTCAGGAACCGGTGTTGTAAAGCGCCTGATGTTGAGTCAAGCAAGCCGATGAATCAATCACAATACTTGTTCTTGATTCTCGAACAATGTGTAGGATATGAGCTGCTGATGCGCATGTCTCCATGCATGCTGAGCATTCGCACGTTGTACGAAAAGAACCACTGTACCTATGTAAGGCGACATTGCCGTTGGAGATTATGCTGTGCATGAAGCCATCCTGGTCCTTATTTATGTTGGGCTCTAGTTACGAGGGCCTAGAGAAAGGCTTGTCGTGACATCACAGTTCTATGGCTGGTTGTGCAGGCTGCTTTAAAAATGCGGTCATGTGTGCATGCACTGCTTGATGATGGTTTCCACGATAGATGTGGTTGGCTTAAGTTTGGTCGGGTCTGGGTTGTTGGACTCAGTCCTTTGTCGTCTGAGAGCAATCCGAATCGGTAAGACTATCTGCCAAACCAAGGCTCTGCAAAGCCACTGGGAAGGCGAAAGGCAGATCGATCCAGACTTTGTGGCCTGGGTGGAAGCTGAGGGCATCGATCTGCTACAAGCGATTCCCTTCAGGGTTTATGGAGATGGGGCGACTTCACTACGATCTTGGCTTGAAGCAAATAGTTAAGTTGAAGTTCGTTAGGGAAGTCTCTGTGAAGGCATCATTCAATCGACCTGGGCAACTCATTCATCCTAGGACACCAGAACTTCGAAATTATTGCACTGGAGCCTGTGCTTGCTGAAACATCCACCCTAAGCAGCCGTCTTCTGATGTCTTGCATGAGCTCTACATACTGCTCCGACGATGCAAGAACTGAGATCCTGAAAGTCTTGGTTTGGTCTTTTCAATGCTTGTGTGCCTTGCAATGCATTTCAGAATGAGGCTTCTTCGAAATCGCATACCGGAATGATTACAAAAACAACCGTTCCGAGGTTCGGGCAAGCACCCAGAAAAAGATCACAACGACGAGCCCTTCGTAGATCGAGCAAGGCAAGCTCTCGCTGGGAAGCCCTTGGCTGCAGGATTCCGCGGGATATTGGATGGATTTGAGGGTGATCAAGATTGGATGCGCCTCTGCTTCTCTTTGAAGAGATTCGCAAGCTGCCAGCAGGTTTGCTACTACTGCCGCGTCTTGTGACAGCAATTATGAGTCTTTCACACTAATGAATATATACACCTGACTTTGACCATCCTGATCGAACCTGTTCTAAGTGATGCCGCCTGAGAGGCTTTAATGTTTCTGACTCCTGGAGCAGCAGCTGGCAGTGAAAAGGCGGATGAAGACATGCTCTTCACAGCCTTTGGCCCGCAGGCCAGGCACAGAAGAACGAGCCTTGGGTAGACCTGTAAGCGTTTCTAAGTACCCAGTTGTGTGCAGAAAACATCATAGTTCGAAGCCCCCTTCTTCCAAATTTTCAGTTCTGGCAACCGCGGTTAGAAGACTTTGTGATTTCTTTTCCGATATATAGTACTCTATAAACCCTAAACCCTACAAAACATACAGTTTTACATGAGGTTGACTCACCTTGGTGAGTGGATCCAAGTGCATGGGCGCACTCCACTGACCAACATCCCTTTTTTCATGCCTGAAAGATGCATGGCTGTGATCGTATGTCCGTTTTGGCAACATATATCAGGAACATGTTTTGTACGCCTCGAAAACACACATCGTGATTGTTCAATGGTGGGTCCACAGGAATATTCCCGGACCCGATGCACAACATCGATCTAGCTGTGATCCCAGACTTGGCGATTTCGCTGCTGCTTGATTGGACTGACAACAAGGACTACGTGGCAGGTCAGTACAGGCCTACACGGCTGCGTGCTTTGTATGGCAGCTACGACAATTTTATTGGACGAGAAATGGATCGAGCAGATGCCAAGCTTTTCAGTGCAGAGGTCCTGAAGCCTAACTCCAGCACCTTTGTGAGTGTTTCCCAGCACTATCTTTCAGCGGCTGCTGCTCGCGGACTCTTGGTGTGGATGGCAAAAGCGGCTCAGGATTTCGCTGCTGCATCTCCGACGAGGGAGAATCACTGGCGAGCTGGCGTGTGCTTGGGACTGCTCAAGCTTCAGCAGATTGCTATGGAACATGGGTGCCTTTTCTGAATTGATTATAATAGGGCTCCCAGGTCAAGGATTCGATTGCCTTCTTTGGTCTATCGGACGTACCAGGCGTGTTCTACCTGAAGAGCAGCGTGAGCTGTCTGTGGAGTACTATATGCTCTTCAGAAGCTGCTGGAATCAACTGGCCCTGCGAGCGTTGCAACTTCAGCAATTGAGGTGGCACCTGCGCCCGAAGATTCACCATGTGGAACACATGGTGATGGATCATGTTGCATTTGGCAGGAACATGAGATATTTCTCTTGCTTCCTGGGTGAAGACATGGTCAGAAGAATCAAACGCCTCGCTGTTGCTGTTCACCCAGTGTCAGTAGGGATGCGGGTGCTGGAGCATTACTCGCTCCATGTGTGCCTGCTGTGGGCAGGCTTGATCGAGTGAGCCGAGTTCTGGTGAAAATCGATTGACTGAAGCGATCTGCAGCGCAAGTGTTCCATAAATATATGTATATACATATATATATATATACACATATGTATATGTATCTTTATATGTATATTTATATGTATATCTATATTTATATGTGTGTGTATATACGTACACATATATTTTTTATAATATTTATAGTTGTATGTATATTTATACTTATACTTACTTATATCTATACTTATATTGATTTTGATATGTATATTTATATATGTATGTCTGTCTCCATTTGTCTGTATATTCTTCGTGATTTTTCAATCCAATGTATTACACGCCTATTTTTTGGGTTAGTCGGGCGCGACCGCACACATATGACCGGGAATCTAGGGTTTATGATTTAGGGCGTGCATGCACGGCGTGGCTCAAGGCACTTTCGCGGCAATTGTACGACCGCACGTGAATAAATTTTGGGTTTAGGATGTACGCGTAATGTGGATCGTTGTGAAACGTTGGTGGAATACTGTAATTTGACAAGCTATGAATTGTTTGGGGCCGCCCGGGGGTCTGGGAACCGGCCCGTGTCAGTTCGTGCCGTGTCAAGTGGCCGTGTGTCGGCGTGCGGCCGTGTGTGTGCGGCCGTGTGCCCGGGCACATGGCCGATTAGCCCGTCCTGGCAGGGGGTAGGGGGGTGCTAGCGCGC